CTGGCAATCACCCACCGTCCGCCACCGTCCCCCACCGTCCCCCGCTCTCCCCGGAGGTCCCATGCAGTCACCCGCCGTTCCCTACCTGAAGTTGTCTTAGATCGTGGGGCTCGTTGTCCTTGCTAATGACGGCCGTCTTGGAGGTTCAAAGACGAGGACGGACTACATTTTGCGGTCCGGTCTCGTCCGGAGGTCTTGGCAGCCCCCCCGCCGGGTCCTACGGGGGCCCTGGACGGCTGAGAACACTGCCCAATTCTACAAAGCCAAAGAAGTCCATTATGATATTCAACTATTAAGATCAAGGAAAAGAAAGTACAGAGAGAAACCGTGAAGAAATATCTACAGCCGTAATGTCTCAAACTATCCTGTGCTGCTCGTTATCGGGGAAGAGATTTTCCACTGCCGGAGGCTATGGTGAGTGTTTCGCTGCCCTTGCCGCGGGAGATCGTAGCCACCGATGTATCCATACTTAAGGCAGGTGTGCGTGCCTCTGCCGGGTGGTACCTGCTGTAAGGTGGCTACTATCTCGTTCCTGTGCTCAGGCAGGCTGCATTCCCTCGTTGGAGTAGGTTCTGGGGTGCTTGGAAGCAGCTAGACAACGAGATCTACTCCTCCAGTGAGTACTCAATATATACCTTGTAGGCATCCGATCTCCACCGGCCAAGTGTTTGAATCTCGGTTTCGGGAATGCCGACTTCGGCAGCCCATGTGACTGCCCCTCTCCTGAAGCTATGCCCGTTCCACAACCCATCCCAGACCTCAGGCTGCCCCTCTTGCCAGCTCTTGTGGCCTGTTCACAACATATTCTCGGGTAAAGGGGAGCTGTTTGTGTTTCCTGATACAAAATAATGGTGATAGTGGTGGCCTGTGAGTGTCAGTTGCGAGGAATCATTTCATGGCTTGCACTGGACATCCATTATCGTGGCTTGCTGCGATTGTGATCTTGATACCTTTTCTAAAGGGGTCCGTTTTCGACGAGGGTAGTGTAAGTTCCATGTGAGTTCCATCTTCGCTTATGCGAATACTGTTCTTTGTTAAAAACCATTTTGTGAATGTAGGGCCTATTTCCCTCTCTACACCCTTATAGGTAAATTCGCCAACTCGGAGGAACCCGATGAAGGCCAATGTGAAAGCGGCTTGTAGTACTGAGTTCTTGTAGTTACGTGCCCCAAGGTGGGAGAGGGTTTGAAGAAGGTATGGGTGAGTGAGTGGAGTACGGGTACGACGGAGGCTCATTATGGTCTCGCTTGATTCCCTATATTGTTCGCTCTAGTCGGGGGTCTGTGAATGCGCTACATTCGATTCCGAGGTCTAGCTGGTAGGACTTGATCCCTGCTAGATAGAGCTTCATGGTTTTCACTTTGACCATCCCTGCCCAAGAGCACAGCCATTCTATCAGCCATATAGCTTTTGCCGGGAAGCATCCACCATTTTGGTGGCGGAAGTTGGAAAGGGTACAAAAGAGGGTAAAGTGGGAGCGGGGGGTGTCGTAGTTGTTTCTTGTCGAAGGTGCTAGTCCCCTCCATAGGTAGTGAGTGGCTATTGGCGAGAGCCCAGTTTGCTGTATGTGAGAAACCCACGACTCCGGAGGTCACATATGGGGTGAATTAACTGTGGCGCAAGGTCAGCTATCTTTTCATAATTAAACCGTGAGAGCGCGTCTGCTAATGCGTTCTCTTGAGTCGGGATCCATCTTGTTTCTAAGTCTAGGTCATGTTCAGCTGCAAGAAGGAGGTACCTCCGCAATACGATCATGGAGGCTCCTCTTATAGTTCGGTTCTCGACACCGTGTGCGACTGCTCGGTTGTCGGTATGTATCACCACCTTCTTGCCCGTCCAGTTCTTCCCCCAATAGACCAATGCCTGCTCCACAGCCCTCATCTCCTGCGCATTGATGTGCTCCTTGGTCCTCACGAGATGCCTGGGTAGATGCATAGAGAAAGCAGGGCCTGGCAGCGGCTTTGTCTCACCCATATTGATGAAAAAACCACCGAGTCCTTTTTTACTTGCGGCATCTGTCCAGGTGCGAACCACATTCCTATCACTGGTGCAGATCCCTCTTGCTACGTAATCCCCCTCGTACATTTCCATGTCCGCAATAGTTCATAAGAAGCAAGTAAGGAACAACAACCTTCGATCAGAACCTCAGTACCAAACCATAATATCGCAACAATAGTTCCAATAGCTGCTGCGGTTAACCCTTTTTGCAGTTAGGTAGATAATTTGCAAAAATTGAGAAGCCCTATATATACACCCCACTCACTGGCGGCCTACGTTCCAGATATGAAAATATGGTTACATTGCGAGGGCAAAACCGCCTCCTACTCATATTTGCACCACCAGCTGCATCATTCCCCTCCTATCTCTACACATCCTAATCGTTTCTTCGAGCATCTCCGCGGTTCCCTTCCCCGCCATTGCCTTCCCCCGGAGCCCCCTTTCCTCCCCCTCCCTATGCGCCCTAACCATTTCGAGATGACTCTCCCTAACGTCCCACTTCCTCTGAAGCCCTGTGGCATTCTTTGCTTCCTTCGCCGGCTTCTTCGTCTTCAGGAAGGTGGCCGTCCCATCCTTGACAATAGCCTCACCCCATCACCGTGGGAGTCATTGATTGCGACAAAGTTTGACATAGTCTTCCTGCTGCTGCAGCCAATCTTTGTGTTTCGGATTGTGCGGGCTTTCGATCCCAGCACCCAGAAATCACCCCCCCCGCTCTTCCTTACGTCTCTGTACTCCAATTTTCTGAGGCTCTTGGGAACAACCCAGGGTTTGATGGAGCCCGTTGCATAAGTCGAGTATACTGTGTGAGTTGCGTTTGATAAGTAGGAATATGACACGCGGAAGGGTCTAACTGCAATTGCAGAGTTGTTGCATTGTGTACGGGCTCTGAATTGGCGTGTCAGGTTCGCCGTTGAAGGGGGTTATGCCGAAGTCATCCATTGTTGGGTTAATCTTGTTCTTCGTGTCGGCGCCGTGGCCGATGCCACAGCGGAAGGCGATATATGAGTGCTCGAGATCGTCATGGGTTTTTTTAGTTGGATGACTAATCCATGAGGCTCTCCAGATAGCCGGGGCACTCATAGCGCTGCGAGAAGCGGCGGTAGTCTTTGCTGTTGGGGCTGTCTGTGGGGCCAAGGGGAGAACATGGGACATCGTTCTTGGTTCGTGCGCGGGGCGATTACAACGCGGGGCTCCTTTCCGATAGGGGGGCTGGCAAAGCCACCGCCATTCTTGGCCGGGGGGATTGAACAGCTTTGCCAACGTCGTTGATGCAGTCCTCTAGGATGGTGGAGCGGGTATAGGTAACGGCCTCGAAGCCAATTGGCATGCCTATTTCGATGATCGAAAGGACCCCGCCGTTCGGATTTAGGTGCGGCCAGAGTTGTTCAATGGTTTGGCAGTGGAAAAACGACTTCCTAATCAGGAGGATTCTGTTTGTGGCAATGATCAGATCGTAGAGTTTTCTCGGCTAAGCCTTATTCTCTACCGGAGCGCCCAGCATGTAGGGTAGGTTTTTGAAATAGATATCCGACACTCGAGGAATAAACAGAGTCTCGTCCAAGACCCTCGACGATAGCTGCCAGCAATCCACTCCTATCCCTCGCCGCTGGCAGAGCCTTTCCACCCAGGCCAGATAGCAGCTTCCCTGTTCTCGCCAGAAGCTCATCCTTCCTTCTCTCCTCTTCCGCTTCGACAATACTCTGCCAAGCAGGTACCCAAGCGCCCCTACCCCTGACATCCTTAACACCCTGCTCCCCCCCATCCCGGCCGAGCACCCAATCGCCGCCCAAACGTTTCCCCAGCTCGGTCAACGGACTCAAGGATTGCCCATACAGCCCCGGCATCAATGCAATGAAAAAAACACGTCGGCATCGGTACCCGACATTGGAATGTTAGTCGGGCTCAAAGGGAATAGTCAGATTGCGCTTATTACGCTTCTTCGAGTAAATGGGCGAGAATTGGAAGTGTGGACGGTGGAGAGTTCTATGGGTCGAGTTCACTATATGTGAGGTGATGGCCTCCGCCATCAGAGACTCTGTCCGGTCCCTTACCGATGGCAGAGGTCGGATGTGAGAGGCCACTACCTCGTGAACCGACCGACTTCAGTCAGTGGGTTCCAAAAGAGACGAGGAGAACCGCCGGTATGGAGGTCCTCATTTCTTCCTTCTTCACCCACCCCTACCCCTTTGGGATACACAGTCTGCTGGGCAGCCCGTGTTACACATAAACCCAAAGTTAGTCTGTGAATCTAGATTCGCCAAATTGTGGGCGATCCAGTTCATGAAGTTCGCGTAGTCTATTTCGCTGTGCAGGAAAAGACAAAACCCTAGGTGAATCCGGTATGATTCCCAGTTGATCCGCCGTCATTCCTAGATATTGTCATTCAGACTATCCAAGTTGTGCCGCAGCGATGTTTATATTATGTTGTAGTACGACATCTCTGGGAGTTTATGCATTTAAGTGAGCAGTTCATTCCACCTAGTAAGTCAAGCAAGTTACTTCTATCATTCATTCCCATACACTTCCCCCCATTCTACCGCGATTCAAAACAGTCATGCGAAATCAAATATCGGGTAATATATGGTGAAAATGTTCTCCCAAACCTCGGTGCTGAGTACATCGCGAATTATGAGATGAAGGGGGAATCGCAATCCGTAGCTTTTATAAAAATGCCCAAACTACCTTGCCTGGGACTCCCTAATACTAAAATAAAGAGAAAGCAATTCTCAGATATCGTCTTCCTTGGTTTGTTCTTAGTGAATGGGCAGGCGGGCAGTGGGGCAAGCTCGTTAAACTGGTAGCCGGTATTCTAATGAACTGTATTCACTCAAAAAAAAAAGCCTAGGTTGCTCGTCCATTTGCCGCGATGTCTCCCCAACCCAAACTACTCTTATCCCTGCAAAAACTGTACTTTACCGGCGAAAAACTTGGCTTCAACCTGTAGTAAGTTAAGATCTACGGTATCATACCGAACCTCATCAACCCAACCCAACCCAACCACACCACACCAACCTCATCCGCACTACATCCACCACTAAGATGCCCAATGACCCACAAACCCCCTCCTGAAACCCTCTACGCCCGACGCAAAACCCGCACCGCTGCCGCTAACACAACCTCACTCAACACAACTGCAACTGCAACCTCCGCCTCCGCCTCAACCTCAACCTCCACAAGCCCCCTCTCCTCCCCCGACACGGCAAGCCTCGCCAACACCAGCACCATTCACCCCCCTCAACCCAATACCACCCCCACCGCTTCCTCTTCCTCCTCCTCCTCCTCCTCATCCACCACAAAATCCCGCCGCCGTGGCCGCTCCCTCCGCACAAACCTCCTCCTCCGCCCACACCACACCTCGCCAATCCCGTCACCCCCCTCCCCGATAACCATCCCCCCCAGCGCTACCCACGACGGGGACAACGGTGGCGACAATGATGGCAGCGGAAACGTAGCAATGAGCGGAGGAGGAGGGAGGCGAAGCCGAACCAGCAGCTTCATCCTCCTCCCCCGCCAGCAGGAGATCGAATCCGCAGCCGACACTGCTTACTACGGGTTCGTTGTTCTGGGGGCTACGTGGATTGTATTTGTCGTGGGCATGGGCAGTGCGTTGGGGATTTGGGAGTGGGCTTGGGATGTTCCGGACGTATGTTATTCGTTTCGCCGCTTCGCAGCAGGGCGGGGGAGGAAGGTCTGGTGGGCTGTTGGGCTAACGCGGTTATGTGCGCTAGTCTCCATTTCTGAAAATCGCGAACGAATCCGATGACGATAAGGAGGTGCTCATCCCCGGGTATTACCCCGCGCTGGTGATACTTACTTGCGTTATGGCGTGGGTGTGGGTTGTTGTTGCGTGGATGGGGATGAAGTATTTCAAGCATGCGAAGATTCAGGGGGGTGGAGATGATGGATGAGCGGTTGGCGGAGGTGGGGGTATGATGAAGGGGGGGGGGGATAATGTTTAATTTTCTTTCCTGGATAGACGGGGGGGAGGGTAACTGAGCAGGTTTTTTCCAAGAGCGAGACAAGAGAAATCTACCATTCCGATAGTTCACTATAACACCCATCATGGAATCAAATCCAGCCGGTCATATTCTGCGCAAGCAGGCAAGACCGTTTATCATTCTCCCACTTCCAATCCCGGGCACAACTGCCTCCACTATCACAAAGAATCACTCCCCACAGCCAAGATTTAATTCACCAAAATCATAAATTCAGTCGGATATCGTTTCATCTCATCTCATCTTCCGAAAGCAAACAGTACAAAACAAAAACCCCTAAAACTCCATTTGCCATTCCTAAAAAACCGAATATAAAATATAAAAATCAAATATTGAAAGAAAAAAATACCCCCATATTTTTTTTCCTCCCATCACACCATCGATACATACATACATTCTCTCTCTCCCTCTCCGTCTCCGTCTCCGGGCATATGTATAATAGAACAGAACGGAATATCGAGTGTGATTGTATAGTATATGGTATGGTATAGCATCAGGGAATGGGAAAGGTAAGGGGTAGAGGGTAGAGGGTGCGTAAGTGGGCGGGTAGGAGGGGAAAGGGTGGAAGGTTATGCGTGGGGAAGGGCAAGAGGGGGAAGGAAAGGAGTACAGGACGGAAGGAAGGCGAAAAGCCAAGAACAGGGAGGGAGATGCAAGGGGGAAAGGCGATAGGGCAAGAACAACGATGAAATGAAAAAACAAAGGGTCTTCCCGCATAAACAGGTCGTTAACAAAGGTTTTTTTATAATTGTTTTTCCGTCTTTTTTTTCAGACTTTTCGTTGAGGTTTTTTTTTAGGTCTGTTTTTTTCCTTTTTTCTGATTTTGTATGATTTCCATCTCTTTTTTTTTTTTTTTTGTTCCTCCGGATATGACCCTTTGATGTCCGCCTTGCGCTTGCCCTCCCCAAGTATCCCTCTCTTGCTCCTTCTCTTTCCTTCCCCCCCCAAACACCCCTCATCCCCACCCTTGCCTCCAAGAACCTCTCTCCAATCCCTCTGGTCTTCGTTGTCTCCCTCTGGTAGAGGAGGAGGAAGCCGTCGTTCCGGTCGATCCGATCGACAAAAGGCTAAGAAATCCCCTGACAATTGAAGGAAGATGAAAAACAAAAAAAGCCCCAGAATTGAAGGTGAGAAGAAAAAAAGCTGCAAGGAAAATATATAAAAGATAAAACATAATATGGACAGGAATATCAAATCAATACAGAATAAACGCTCATTCAACTACAAAATCCTATTCACCCGATACATGAAACAAAGGAAATTCCTATTGTCCTTACAGAGAAACATTCGAAAACGTACAATGCCATAAGATGGGTTAAAATCACAAATAAGCAAGAAAAAATGGAACCCAGAAGGTAATCAAAAACACCGTGCCCCGGAGAAAGAAAATCAAAAACGAGGGGGAAAGGAAACTAAAAATCTCAGGATGAAGACGAAATACCTATGCCCCAGACCGAATACATGATATGAAAAATCCAAACCCAAGTACAAGGAAGGTTAAGGAATGCTCGACATCGACACTCGTTATATACGTGAGAAACAGGGAAATGAAGACTTGTAAGGAAATATGTGTAACCCCCTGAACCTTTAAACCGCTTGCTCCGTGCCATTTATGTGAGCGAACAAACAAAACTTTTCTAGATGACTCGAGGGCGAAAAGGTGGTAGTCTGACGTGCTGAACTTCGTTTCATCTTACACCATCACAGACGGGCATGGCAAACAAGGAGGATCTAGTGGGTGAGGCCGCCATTCTTGACGCGTGCTTCCATGTGCTCGGATTGTGCGCGAAGAGCTTGGGCCATAAGGCGCGTGGCTGGAAAAAGGTTAGATTATCTATTTGGCAACCATAAGCAGAGGGGAAAACATACCAGGCCAGATGACAACCTTGTCAAGCAAGTACGCGCTCACATTGAGTACCTTGGATCCCAGACCAGAGTCGGCTCTTAGGATATTATTCCCTTGACTATTCGGATTGTTATTCCAATCCATAGACATTTTCATCTCAGCGTTTCTCAACATCTCCATAACCTTGGCAAGTAACTTTCGGTCCTCATGTTCAAGCATCACCAATCCCTCAAGGCTTGCCATGTTGCACTCGTCACTCCCAAGAACACCCATATAAGGGTTAACACGTTCCTGCACAGTAGCAATCCACTCGGCAAGTACCTGGGCACAGTCAAATGTGCACAGCGCTGATTGGATGGGAAGCTCTCGGCAAGCGGTAGTCAAGGAGGACGAAGCGCCGAGGGTATCAGACATAGCAAGAGAATCGGCAGCGTAAAAGGCAGCTTTGCGAAGATGTCTTTCCCTCTTGGCAGAGGCACTTGAAGAGTCAATGTTCATGCCACTGCTGCTTGTGGAGTATCGAGGGGCAACTCCAGGTTCGATCTTAATCGGCCGTAGGCTGGGTGATGGGGACTGGGAAGCAGGAGATGACGCGGGCGAAATTGCACCAGAGAAGGACGAATCGGAATGCGCCGAGATAGAAGAAGCGCTCGATGGAGAGTTGTTCTGAGCATTCTCCCATCCTCTTGCAATCTCTTCGGCCATAGCTTCGTAGTCCCTAGCCCAAAAGAATTCTTTGGCTCTGCCAAGATCAACAAACAAACGGATGTAAGCGAGGTCAAGCAGAGGAATACAATCCGCTGACAGGGGGCCCATCGCGTACGGATTGGGTCTCTCAATGCTATGATGGGGGCTGCTATACCAGGCGGCTTGCCATGCCTTGAGAGCAGGCTCGATGTGAGCGTGCATTGTCTCAGCCTCAGATGACGTCCAATGGCGAGAGTTGTGTCTTTGTCTCGTTTCCCAAATATAGACATGGAGTGCGCAAATCAAGACGAGGCATCCAAACGTGCTTGGAATAATCCCGGAGGGTGGATACGGGGGAACACCGCCCTGCTGACCATTGGTAAAATTTTGGAATTGGCCTGGGGAACCATATGTCTGCTGACCGGCAGATAAGAGCCCGGTAAGAGCGCTTGTGAAATTGACCGAGTTTTGTGATGCCAAGGCTAGACCACCACGGGATTTCCATACCGCAGCGGTCCCAGCCGACCAAAGCTCCTCGTCGCACGGCAAGTCGCAGCGGATCTCGTTATTCATGAGGGCAGGAGACAAGTTGTGTGCCGCAACAAGCAAGCTTGACAAAAAGTGAACGGCGTATAAAGTCCGTTTCCGCTCCTCAGCAATGACCCAGCTCGTCCACTCTACGTTCTCATCAGGCTCCATCTTGATGTTAATTCCGCCCCAACCATCGCTGCCCACACTGCCACCATAGGATTCTAAGTCACCCATATGAATGTCTCCGTCCTCTTGCTTGAAAGTTTGTGTAGTGGATACATGAGGCTGTCTAGTCAACCCAGCAGTCCTGGCCAAACTAACCAATGCTGCACAGTGAGTGACAGCGGTTTCACAAGCACTCTTCTCTCCACACTGCAATCCGTAAATGACGTTCAAGAGCATAGCCTGTACAAGCCAAACGGGAGTATTGGTCCCACTATCACCGCCGCCTCCACTATTAGTATTGAGACCGCTAAGAGCAGCAGTGACATCAGCCTTTCTACGATCTTCAAGGAAAATTTGAATTGTCTTCTTGGATAACTCGAAGATATCTCGGGCGATGTTTTGCTCGAATTCGTAGAGGGCGCCGATTGCAGCAATGGATAAAACGAGGCATCCACCACCCCCGATAACCCCGTTGCTACGCTGACCGCCCTTGACACTATTCGTGAATGCCGGGGAGTTGAAATTGAGGGTCGGGATATGGAGGAACGGAAGATGTGGATGGAAATATTTGATGTAGGCCCCGACGTATCGCTGGAGATCAGCAGTGCCGGGCAGGCCGGTAGCCTTCCCGACAAATGGGGGAAAACTGGTAGTTCCTGGTGCTGGCTGTGTAGATGTTGAATACCGTCGTTGATGAGCACGGGGAGGCTGATAAGTCTGAGTGCCCTGGCCGTTGAGAATACTAGGTGCCTGCGCGAGCGTTGCCAGCAATGCTGCTCGAGTAGCATCCGTCACGGATTCCGCAGAGAGTGAGGTCATGGATGACCCACCGTTGCTATGCAAGGAAGTGGCCGAAGATGTACGATTGTCAGCGTTATACTGGTGATTGTTGTTGAATGGTGGGAAGTGGTGGCTCATGGTGGAGGGTGAGATCGAGAGCGGTGGACCGGAGTAGTAATTCTCATGGGACGATTGCTGAGCCAAAAGAGTTTTGGGGGAGATGGTTCCCGGTGGCGGTGGCGTTTCATGATGAAAATTCGATCCCGAGAAATCATTTGGAGAATTAAAATTGATGGCATTTCCGGAACCCGTACCCATACCCATCTGACTGCCCCATCCTTGATTCTCATTCAGAATAACCTCACTGATTCCACTGGCCGATGTAGTGCTGAAAGCACTGGGTGATGACTGGTCAACAGGATCCATAAGACTTCCACCACCAAGTGGATTCATCCATTCGTAATCATCTTCATCTTCGATATAGTACGAAGAATCAAGGCCAGGGAATGGGGGCCCGAACGGTGAAGTTGGCGTCCCAATCGGTTGCTGAAGGGGTGACATATTGAAGTGCAACGCCGCCGGATTGACAGTTCCTCCAAACAACAAACCATCAAGCTCATATTCGGAAGGAAGCATGGAGGCAGAACGAGGCATCATCCCACCCAGATCCAAAGATGACAGCGATGTATCAATTTTGGGCACCGCGTGCCTAGGTTCCTCATGAGCCCAGGCACCCCACGGTCGGGTATTCTTCGGAAAGACATACCTGGTTTCTTCATGATTCAAAGAACCTACGCCGGTGCCGCCCATATTACCTTGAGCACTGCCACTACTTCTTCCACGGCTCACATTCGCATTGGCAGCTGCAAGCATCCCAAGAGTTGAGGCGTCTACGTGGGCAATGGTATTCGCCCTAGGCCTAGCCCTCATGGCGGAAGCCCCACCATCACCGTGACTGACTGGGCCAGTGGCAGTAGTAGAAACTGAGTTCTTCCGGACCCTCCCAGGATTAGTGGATGTTACGGAGCTCGTGCTTTCTCTCCGACCGCTGGCTCTTGGACGACTGCTGGGAGTGGTCGTCATATGCAATTTCTGCTGGTGTCTGAGAAGTAAGTCCCTGCGGGCAAAACAGCGCGTGCATTCTGGGCACTCAAATGGCTTTTCCTTCGTGTGGGAGCGCTCATGGCGCTTGAGGTGTTCCAGACGTGCGAATGAACGTGAACAAGTTGCACAGACATGAGGTCTGGGTTTGTCCGTCTTCGGTGGGGGTGGTGGGGGCGGCTGAGTTTTGTTCCCTAATAAAAAAGGATAAAAGCAAAGTGGTCAGCAAAGACGGCACAGTGCACATCCAATGAATGATAAGGAATCATATGGCACAGATGTAGACAGGCGAAGCCATACCACTATTCACTCCAGCATAAGAGGACGACATCGGAGGAGAGTTCGGGCTGGTTGTCGATTGAAGCACGGTGTTATCCGCTGCCATGCTCAAGAAAAGGGCTCCGATAAAAGTCCAAGCGAGGCTGATAAATCAGACCAGGCTTGCGAGAAAGAATGTGGTCAGATTGACGAGACGCTGGGGAATCTAGGATAGTAGACGGAAAGCGACCCGATCCACAGAGAAACGCAATTTAACGACCTAGTAAGCCTCCCGGAACTCGAGCCCAGATATTGGAGAGGTATATTTGAAATGAGGGGGATTTGTTTCCTTCAGAAACTCTCAAGGCTGATTGGCAGATGGGTAGAATGAGACTCCAGCTGTAAGTAAAACAATATCCCGTTTCCTGATCGCCGGCAGAAGCCTGAACTCACTAAGAAGCAGGAGCTCTCTCGAGAAAGCGCGGCCAGGTCGAAGGAATTCTGGAAAAATTGGGATGGATCGAAACTGGATTTGGGTCGGTCTCAAGTCGTCGATACGAAGCACGGTGCTCTCATCAACACCAAGGCTATCAGTGGGCGCCTGTTCTACATGTTAGCATTGTTGCTCGGTTGTTAGAAGTTCACCAAGTCATAAGCTCAGAGTGAGGGGAAGGGGGAGGGAAGAAAAAATTTCACACCGTGTTTCCAGACGTAAATGTTGAAGAGAACCCGCAAAGTACAAACTATAACTCACAATCGTTAATAGGAAGTGATTTTCTTTCCCCCTCCAAAACAATTATAGTAAAGAAAGGAAGAAAGCTTGTGTTTTCTTTTTTCCTCCAGAGCAAGCAAGGCTAAGGGATTAGAAGGAGGTACCCACAAGCCAAGGCAGCAGTGAACAGTAGATGGGCTAGTGATTCACCGCAAGAAAAATAAAGACGAAGCTAATCCACTGAATACCACGCCGATGGGGGAGAGGTATAACCAGAGATGAACACAGAAGGGGAAAACTCCTTTTCTTTCCCTCTTTCGAGTCCGATGAATGAACAGGGAGCACAGCCAGAAGTGGCCAACGAGTTTGCGTCACCGGAGTTTGTCAATCTGGTTCCCCGAAAGTTTTCCTGTCTGCTCTTTACCCAGTTGTCCCGCCGAGTCCGAAAGGGCAGAACAGAAACCGATGAGGCGACGAATTGAGACGACAACACTCGCCTGAAAAGAAGACTTTGAACGGTTGAACAGGTGAAGGCGAGGCCCCGATGTTTATTGCTTTCTGGAGCGCTTGGTCCGGGACGGGTCAAGAGCAGAAAAAGAAAAGGTAATTGAGGGTCGAGGGAATTGAAGGAAGGGGGGGGGGGGGTGACAGTGGTGGATGTGTGGTGGAAGGGTGGGCTGGTGGTGCGTTGCGTTGTTGGACGGGGTTTGGTAGATGCGTGGGTGACTCGACAACTGACAGTTTTGGTCCGAGTGTGAGTGTGTGACTTGACAAGCAAACACAAGAAGGGACTGAGCTGGTTGACTTCAATTGTAGGCCAACCTGAAGTGTTCCTCTAGAAATAGTACCTTAGGAGAGAAGGGGGGATAAGACGAAAAGGTGGAGAGGGGAGGCGACAGGTTTGAGGTTTGGGGGCCGGAAATGACCAAAGAGATAGACGGACAGACGGACGAGCAGACACTTCAACCCGGAGACCGCAAGTAGAGAGAGAGAGAGCTAGGTTGTGAAGCCAGTTTATGTGTGTGAGTGAGCGAGTGCGTTAGAGCTGGTATCATAGGCTGGCTAGCCAGGCGTAACAAGCGATTTGAAAGCAAGATTTCTAGGACACACGGAGAAGAAATTAATTACCAAAATTAATTCGTTACTCCTTCTATTTCCTACAAATCCACAAGTATCATGCCCATAAGAAAGCTAGTAAACTGTTAAATCAGGTTAATAATCCCACTCTTATACGAGGACATCTCCGGGCACGGTACAAGTACTGTACTCGAGTACTTGCAGTCTAAGTCTAATAATGCCACAGGCAATCGCCGAAGAGTTTTTTTTTCCCTCGCACTTTCTTGTCTGGTCATTCTCTCTACTAATTGGTAAACCCATCACGCTCTATGGTACAGTACGATACCGCCTCTTCAAACAACCCCCCCCCCCCGTGCTCCCCCGACTTCCGAGTGCATCAATTATGCAGTTAAAACACCAAGCCTTCGTTCAGAGGAAGGAGCCTTCTCCCTCTCTTCTCAAACGCTCCTTCTAGTTTTGTAGGATTGATTTGCAAGCTGCATTTCTCCATTATTATTATTTTTTCCGTAGTTACCTAGCTTTTTCGTTTCGTTACAATATTACCCATTTCTCCCTTCTCACCCGTCCCACACCTAGACAGTCGTCGCCTTGGACAGCCATGGGCTGTCCTGAATGTATGATAGGTTTTCCGGATGGCTGGCTGGCTGGCTGGCCCTGCCCAGTAGCTTTCAGTCAACTCAGTTAGTCAGTCTGGTTTTGGTTTTTGAACATGCCCGACTGACGACTGGTTAATCCAACTCGCAGGGCCGTGATACGATGCATGAACTTTTTTTTTTTTTCCCATTAATTTTTGTATTTCCGGGTTGTTATTTTCACACGTTATTATTTTTAACTTTTTGACCCATGATTAACGCCCGGACCAATCAGTAGGAGGGCGCGAGTGAGAAAATAGAAAAGAAAAGAAAGAAAGAAAAAACAGAGCCATAATAGGAAGAGGAACAGTTTTAAGGTGGTGCAATATGAGAAAAAGAAATGCTGGATGGGCAAAAGGGCAATACCGGTACAAGTACGAGTACTCGAGGACCGCACTCGGGCACAAAAAAAAAAAAACGCCACCCTTCCTCGACCGGAGCTAAATTGCTACGTCGGAATAGTAATTTCAAGCCGAAGGAAACAGCCGCCCCCTCTGATAAAAGTATTTCTTGCACCTTGTCTTAAATGTCGGTGGCCTCGTCTCGCCCTTTCTCTCGGCGACAACGAGCAGGGTACAGTACTGGTATCGTACTCTGTGCTCTCGGCCTATGTCGCGGCTGTCCACAGCCCAGGGCAGTACACGCCCCGTGGTTCGTCAACGCTCAATTGGCTTGCATGCAGCAACTGTGGGTCGCAGACTCGCGGTCGCGGTCTGTCGCTCTTCGATGGTCAAATTCAGTCAGGGTGTCTGAGGAGAAAGAAAAAAAAAAAAAAAAAAAAAAATGAGAGGGATGAGAGGGAAAAGCAAAAGGGCTGGGGAAAGAATCATTTTATCCCATTTTTATTATATATTTCCCTTTCAATTCCCTTTTCAATTTCCATCTGTCTAAAATGGGCAGGGATCCGGAGCGGAGATATGTGACAGGACGGGGCAGGTCTGATATTCAGCAATCGCATTGGCCGAGGCTGGATGTACCGGTATGGTACCAGACGCCGTATCTGTGGGTGTGATGTATGATATGCTCAGGAACGGAAGTGTGTACAAGACGCTAGTTGTGGGAAGACGCTAGGAAAGGCTGGTACATAAAGCTCGATGATTCTGGTACGATATACTTTCAATTGCTGAATGGATGGATAAGGTAGCTGATGTGCGAGCAGAGGCTCTATCCGCGGCATTGCACCCTTTGGGCTTTCTCGCACTCTTACTCACTCGCTCACCCGTGAATTGTGCCTATGCTGATGCCTGTGCACCCGTAGAGTACATACAGCACTTGCACCAGTAATCGCATCGCAACCCTGGCTCCGGTCGCAGAGTTCATCGTCGCGGGTTGGTTCGCCTACAGATACGAATCACCGGTGGTGCATTGTACTTGTAGGGGGGCAGTCGGAAAGCTCTCGAGGTAAGGAGTGAGGTACATACATGGTGGGGGTTGTGAAAGATAGTCATCCAGCAACATCATCACTAAATTTACCATCAACCTCACCTCACTCGGACTGGTCCCCTCAGCCCAAAATTAGAAAGAAGATGAAGAAGAAGAAGAAGAAAAGGGTATCTACGCACGCAAGTTGTATTTCGTTCATTCCTACGCACACACATACATATCGTACCGTACCGAACCGTATCGTACATACATATCCTACGGGTGATTGTATGATATTGCACAGCGACTAATCGATGGCCAGAACAGCAGTATTATCCGTGAGATAACCGTCTCAAGATAGAGTAGGATCCAACGATCCAATAAATATGGAGGCATATTGACTTTGCATCGAGGTTGAAAATGAGAGTGAGGGTGACAGAGGGATGTGGGAAGCATGAGGACGGATAGAGAGATAGACGCAGCGGAGGAGGGATTCGAAGAAGCGCTACCAGCACAGTACAGTACTACCTCCTGTGGCATATTCTTCCACCACGATACATATGTAGAGAGAGAAGTAGAGTACATCCAAGGCTCTTCCTTTTCACCCACTAATCGAGGCTAGCCACAAGCAAGGCATGCACAGAAAGGCTCCCACCCAAACCGCAAGGGTAATGTGCAAGCGATGTCAGCGCCTGCTCATTGGGACTGAGACTATGGACATCCTGCCAAGCAATACGGATACTCACGAACGTCCGGAATGCACAACCCGACAGATTTGGTATGGTGTGATTGAGGATAGCATAATTTCTTTTCCGAATTCTCTCTCTTCCTCTGTCTCTTTGCTCCCCCCCCCGACCCGACCCACCTCTCTATCACAGAAAGCTTGCTTTGCTTGTTTGCTTACCTGCCTCCAACTTCCTGTCCACGGTATCTGACCACTCTGTTAAGATTTTCTCCACCTCGTTCTCTTTAGAGCGCGCGTCTCAATGTCTGATAATATATCATTTTTTTCCCCCTTCTTCAGATGTTGCCGCCTTTCCGTTTCACCTGATGCGCGTATGTCTCGCAGTAGATTGCCGGTACTCGTACTATGATATGATAAACCTTTTGTCCCTTCTCCCCCCCCCCAACGAATGAAGGGAAAGGTTTCTGATCTATTCGATCCTACCGAGTGCAAACAACGCCATACACCTCATGTACGGTACAAGTACGAGTACCATCTTATCCACCTTGCAGAACTGTAAACTAAACCTTTCTATGCCAAACTGCATCGCGCTCAGCCTAGGTTGCCCAGCCCTTTTGTCTCAGCCTTCTTGAAAATCAAGCTTCCTCCAGCAAGAATGGAAATTGGGGAAGGAGGGGGAAAACAAAAAAAAAAAAAAGGGAACAGAAACAATGTTGTAAAGAAGGCCTTCGGTGATCGAGCCCGGGAGGTTAGAAGGGGTGACTGAATCGGACTCTGAAAATTCTGGTCCGGTGGTTCTTTAATGTCTTAGTAAGCAAGAATAGTGTGAAATAGCGCCCAGAAGAGAGGAAAGAAGATTTCCAGCCCGAGCGATAATCCTCTCCGCTTTATCAGCAGGTAAATATGAACCTAGCATGCCCCACATCCCTCCCTGGAGAACACTGGAAGTAGCTGAAATATCGCGTGTGGAGAGCTCTTCTCGCTCATTGAAGCTGCAGTTGGTTCATTCGTCCGAGCTTTCCTGCATAAAAGAATTCAACTCCGCCTCCTCAATCCTGGATCCTGATCGCCTTTACCTTACCGTAAGAGCGCAGCGCATGCCAGTACGGTGGAGCTCGCTTTTCATTTTATTTTTACCCAACGCCAGGCATTGAAATTTGCTACTGTTCGGCCTCCCGATATATCTTTCTATGAATCTGTGATGTGTGATACCGGTATTTTACGGTACAGTACAGTACTGTACGTGTCAACCGAGCATGGCAGTCACTTTTTATCCGCCCTATTAACACTGGGCCCGTTCGTTTGCGATTGCAAATAGAGTATTGTGTGGTGAAGCTCATCTATCCAATTCCTCAACCCCATACGAGCGCTATTCAACCTTCAATCTATCTTTCGTCTCTGATGAGAGGTCGAGAGCGCAGTTAGGCAGCAGCGGTAGCGTCGGCATGGGGTGTGCCGGCAGGCCATCACACAAGTACCAGTACCGGTATGGCACTCGAGCAGATAATCCCAATCATCTTACCAATGATGTCTACCAAACTAAGACATGGAAAAAAAGGAAAGAGTTCATCTCATCAATTCCAATTCCGCAGGTGAACTCTCCCCCGAGACTTACCTATCCTCCCATCTGGCATCACCAGACATTAGCTCCTACCAAACTAAAGCAACTGCCGGTATCGACCCAGACAAACGCCACCCTCCAATTCTTCCAAGTTAACCCGCGAAAATATACTGCTCGTCGCATCTCTCGTTTCGATTAACTGGCAGGCAGACAAAGGCAAGCAAGCATCTCGCAGGAGCCTGAGGAGAGAGGAGGAAGGAAGGAAGCAAAAAAAGATCAAAAACCATAGTAACAAGGGTGGAGAAAGAGCTCCCCCACCACCACCCTTCGATTGCCCGCATGACCCCAGATTTTCTCTCGAATCCATCTCAAACGAGTTCCCTACCGGACTAAAGCTAATTGGACCGAAAGATCGAAAGTGCGTCAGCACGCCACGTGCCCGAAACGACTGTGGCCGTCTGGTACTTGTAGGTAGTGCTTTGGGCTTCGCTTCGGTCGCAGGAGGAAAAAAAAGAAAAATTTGGGAAGCACAGAAAGTGTTCTAC